AAGATAAATACTATTTGAAGAAAATGATTATTTGTCAATTATATTAATTTTGTGACTAGTTTTTCTTATGGTATTTGATGATGATTTGTATAACTCCAAACAAAAATCATGTGTTCTTAACTAATTAAATGGAATGGAATTGAATCAAAATCAGGAGGAGTAAATATTAATAGAAATTCACTAATAAGAAGTAAATTCTATTTATTTTGATGTCATATTTATATGTATTTTAAAAAATTATTTTAAACACATTGAAAGGTAAAAAATAATATACCTCAATGAAATATTAAACGTGACAACTCATTATTATAGAAATGATCATTCTTCTAGATAAAAGAGTTCCAGTGAAATTTAGAATAAATTTAAATTGAAATTAATATTATTTTCACTCGATTTTCAATATATCATATTGTATCCTTATTAATTCATATTTTGAGGGACACTCTTCCACAAAAGTTTCTTCATACCCAAGGCTCAAACTTAAGACCTCTGGTTAAGGATTGATGGATCATATACATCTCACCATAACTATTATTGGTACTAATAATAACTTAATTTAATTTCTCTTGAATATTTGTCTATATGTTGGATTTATTTGTTGTGTTCTACCCACAAGGATTGTGGTGGAGTATAACTTAGTATACCTTTATCCTTAACCAGAATTGTCAGATTAGAGTCTTGGGGATGAATTACTTTGTTCAGAACAGGTTACTCAATTTGGGGCTTTCCATTATCCGGAGCTAATTGAGTCTCAATAAGAATACCGGACACCAAGTAAATTAAAATACTCTTTCTTCTTGTACTTATAAAAATTAGATATTTTGCAAAAAGAATTTGAGGGTGATCTCAAAGTTTATGATATTAGGCTCATGAATCCTCCATCTTTTAGTGAATAACCCCTCAATCACCTTGATGAAATTTTTTACTTTTTATCCGTTTTGTGTTCTCTACATATAAAGTATCCTTCTGTATGTTTTTTTTTATGTCCAATTAATTTAGATTCATTTATTGTTGATAATGATAAAAAAAATTTGGAAGGAAATGATTGTATGTAATTTGGATGAATTATTTTACTAGTTTTCCTTGCAGTATGGATGATGATTTTTATAGCTCCAAATAAAATCTTGTGTTCTTAACCTATAAATGGCATGGTATTGAATCAAAATCAAGAGGAGTAAATAGTAACACAAATTAACTACTAAGAAGTAAATTCTATTTATTCTGATAACATATTATATTTTCTTTTAAACACATATTGAAAGTTCAAAAATTACATATCGGAATATTAAATGTAATATCTCATTAATATAAAAATTATCATTCTTCTTGATAAAAGAGTTCCAATAATATTATGTTTACTTGGTTTTCAATATATCATATTGAATCTCCGACTAATTTGAATTTCGAGGAATACTCTAACAATATTTTTTCATATTCTAGGCTCAAACTCGAGACCTCTGGTTAAGGATGGATGGATCATATAAATCCCACCACAACTATTATTGGTACTAATAATAACTTAATTCACTTTCTCTTACATATTCTGCAATATGTTGGAATAAGTTGTTGAGTTCTACCAATAATATTGTGGTGGAGTGGAAGTTAATATTCCTTCATCCTTGACTAGAAGTGTCAAGTTCGAGTCTTGGACATGAGTTACCTTTGTTAGAAAGAGGTTTACCCTCAATTTGGAACTTTTCATTATCCGAATCTAATTGAGTCCCAATAAGAATATCAGACACCAAGTAAAAAAGACCTTTCTTCTTGTACTTACGAAAATTAGACATTTGTAAAAAAGAATTTGAGGGTGAGCTCAAAGATTATGAGATTAGGCTCATCAATTCTCTATCTTTTAGGGAATAACTCCACAATCTCTTTAATGTAAACTTTTACATTTTATTTCTTTAGTGTTCTCTACATATAAAGTATTGTCTTTATCTTTATTTTATTTCTTTATTTTGTGCTATTAATTTAGATTCACTTAATATTATTTTTAAGGAGAATATTGTTTGTCAATTAGATTAATTTTATTCCCAGTTTTCATTGTGGTGTATGATGATGATTTTCTAGATTCAAATGAATTTTTTTGTGTTTTTAAATTATTAAATAGCATGATATTGAATCAAAATCAGAAGGATTAAATTTCAATAGAAATCACTAGAAAGATGTGAATTCTATATATTATGATGCCATATTCCTATTTTCTTTTAAAATTTCTTTTAAACACACATTGAAAGGTAAAAAAAACAACACATCTCAATGAAATATTCAACGTGAAAACTTATTACTATAGAAATTATCATTCTTTTATATACAAGAGTTCCAATAGAACTTGGAATAAATTGTAAACGGTAATTAAAATTATTTTCGCTCGATTTCAATATATCATATTAAATCCCAGGTCAATATGGATTCCAAGGGACACTCTCTAACAAGATTTTCTTCATATCCAAGGCTCAAACTTGAGACCTCTGGTTAAGGATGGATGGATGGATCTGGTTAAGGATTGTTGACACTAATAATGACTTCATTTACTTTATCTTGAATATTGGCAATGTGTTGGATTTATATGTTGTGTTCTACCAACAAGGATTGTAGTTGAGTAGAAGTTACTATTCCTTTATCCTTAACCAGAAGTGTCAAGTTCAAGTCTTGGGCATGAGTTACCTTGGTTAGAAAGAGGTTTTCCCTCAATTTGAGACTTTTCGTTATCCGAGTCTAATTGAGTCCCAATGTGAATACCAATCACCAAGTAAAAAATTATTTTCTTCTTGTACTTATGAAAATAAGTCATTTTGCAAAAGAAAATTGAGGGTGAGCTCAAAGATTATGAGATTAGAGTCATCAATCCTATATCTTTTAGTGAATAACCCTCAATCTCCTTAATAAAAATATTTACTTTTTTTTTGTGTTCTCTTCATATAAAGTATTGTCTTCATCTTTATTTTTGTGCTATCAATTTAGATTCATTTAACGTTGATAATAATAAAAACATTTTGATGGAAATGCTTGTTTGTTAGTTAGATTAATTTTATGCCTATTTTTTCTTATGATATATGATGATAATTTGTATAGCTTCAAAATAAAATTTCGTGTTCTTAAACTATTAATTGACATGGTACACAACCAAACAATCGGTCAGCCTATATATCTGGAGACAAGTGGAGATATAAGACTTTCAACTAGAACAAAATATTTGTTTTTCAAATAAAAAAGCACATTGGAAGAAAGATAGTGTGTGGATAACTATAGCTATTTTTCTTTCTTTCTTTCTTATGTTCGACATTCATTTGAATCTTATAATCATGGATAACTTAAATCAATATTACTTGTCAAATTATTTTGCAATTCTTTTAAAATAGACTGTTTATTGAGAGAATTTGGATTAGCTCAGCCAACAAATTTCAATCACCGGATGATTAAATAACAAAGAAGAGATCCAAGTTATAAGATTTAAGTTTGTCGTTTTATTCTCCTAATACACACACAAAAACAAAGAAAGACATGACAAAACTTGATTAGCTAATATCATTTGCTCTAAAGTGAAACTATTATACCAAATCATGCATACTATCATCATGTTTATGAAGGCGGAAAGAGAAAATCTTAAACATGCTTCCTACAAATGAAATAGCTAAATGCAATCTCTTCAGACTTATACCCCAAAATCAAAGGTGATTCAAATGTGCTGGAGGCCACTAAATAATGAATAGGTGAAATGTAATACATATGGTACATCTAGAGAAAATCATGACAGGGGATCATAGGAATTTTGTATGAGGAATATGACTGGTAATCTATTTGCTAATAAGGCAAAAGAAATGAGTATATTACAATGCACAACACTCACACAAAAATTATGACTATACTAAGGCAATGATATATATAGAGGAGAACTAATATCGACAGGTAATAATTGAGATTGACTCCTTGATGTTAAGGAATTTTATTCTGAAAATTTGAGAGGTGGGAGGTCTAATGACCGATAATTGAAGTGATGGATGAGATATGAATGAGGATGTGTAACAAAAATATCAGAATAACTCATATTATAAATGAAGGCAACTGATAGGCTAATCATATCCAAATACAATACTAGATGAAGGAGGAGCAAATACATAGTATTTCTTGGATCTTAGAGTATAGGGAAGGAGACTAATTAACAACGATAAGCTAAATTTTCCTTACTTAAGAATCAGATCATACAAGAGATGAAAAGTTGGGGTGAAAAATAGACAGAGTTCACTACTTATCATGAACAAATCCCCTGATGGGAGAAGAACATAATAAACAAAACTTTTAACTAATCTAGTTTCTTTGATTGCAAGTAGACATTCATGGAGGACAAAAAATAACAACACAAATTTGGATACATATAAAATAGTACATAAACAAATTTGGTGTTCTCTTTCTTGAATTGTCTTAGTCAAAAGCTTCTTAATTGAATTGCTTCAATATATATGAATCATACAAATGATGCACCAAACTACAAACATACAAGAACTCAAGAATCAAAATGCAAACACATATACAATAGACAATGCACAAGCAACTTCAAGAATCAAATAAGCAGCACAATAGGCAGCTCAAATCCAAGCCCAATTTCAATTTTACACTTCTACGATTGGTTGATGTGCAATATGTGGTATTTTTACCTTAGGATGATACTTCTATTGTACAAAAATCGATCTTTTTAAGTGCAGAATTAAAAGAAAGGAAAACATTATTCTTATTATAGGTCACACAGTGTAAGAAAAAAATGAGAAAAACTCACTTATGAAGCATCACGAAGAGAACAACCTGGGGGACGAATCATAGCTAAAGGCACAAAAAAATGCAAATAGAGGAATTAACTGCTAATCAACATCAAGAAAAATATTAGGAGGCTAGATCGACTTCAAAATAGAAAATCTCAAATGGAACCTCTAGACGAAACTCTCCAGATCCAAATACTTTCAACAGATATAACTCTAAATAATCCTAAAGAAAAGTTTTTAAAATGAGATCGACAATTCAAAGGGTACAATAAACACATGAATCAAAAGAAATAGAATAATAGAATTGCAACAAAAAAATATCTCAAAATGGAAAGAAAAAGGGGGAAAATATATACCTGTTGGCAGTCAAGAATACAAGTGAAACATTTGAAATCCAAGATTGCCATATCTGAATTCTGAGCTAACTGAACAAAATGCAGTCAACCTGGAAATGGACGTATAACGTTGAGAGACAAGATAGGCATAAACGAGAAAAAAGAGCGAAAAAACTCAACAAGATATCAAAATCAAAGCTTTCAAATTCAAGAGACAAAGAGGAGGACATAGATCACAAACTTAGTTGGTCCTAAAAAAGATGTCAGAATTGCCAAATTGAAGCACAGAAGAACGACAGACAAAGCAAAGCTCAAAAGTTCTACACTTTTCTATTTTAATTTGAGAAGAAATTTACTGTACTCTTTGCTTTTTCTATTTATTATTTATTGCAAGACTTTATTTATCATAATAAAATAGTTAGTGGGTCGGGAGCCCACTGGCCTTGTATTTATAAAATAAAATATTAATTATCTTCACTTGTTATATGTCATTTTCATTCTTCTAGTTCTTATTCAACACCATTTTATTTAATAGGTTAGGAACAAAACCCTTCTATTTGGAAATAAATAATGATACTTAAGAAAACCTACATATCAAATTTATCTAACAACAATCATTCCCCTAAAGGTTCTTATTGTTATCAAGATCAAATCAATCTAAAATAATAGAACCATATAAAAGGAAATAAAGCACAAATAATCTAGTACTTGGTATGTTGCAACGACCCAAACTGACGTTATTTAAATGCATCACAGGTGGAGTCTCAAAATTTCTTATTCGGGTGGCAAATTAAATTTTGGAGCACACGACAAAATTATTAAATTTGAAAGTATCCGAGCTGGCATCTGCCCGCCATATCTAGACAGCTCCCACTATATATTGCCATTATAGCTCCTGTAGGGCCGCTATAGCTGGGTTGATGAAATCAGACCCTAGATATATATGATGTCTTTTATTTTTCTTCCCACTTTTCTGGCACAAAACATGCGAAGGTTACTCCAAAATTCTCCTCAACCACTTTAAATTTGAGGGTAATGGAGGATAGGAATTTCAATATAAGGAAGGGAAAGACCCAACGACTTCCGGTCCACGATCGTTAGGATTTACCCCGAGGAGCAAATGGATGCCTTCAAAATTCTTCAATAGTTGTTTGACGTCTAGATAGGCTAGGTTTCCACAACTAAGTAGTTAGACATGCTCCCAATTGATAATATCATATAGATTGTTAGGAGGTTGCATGCATAGGTCTTTAGACGTGGAGTCTGGATGATTGAATGTATGGTTAGTTGTGGTGTAGGTTGATGATGAATTTTATTTGTTACTGTTGGCATTCTGATATGACAGGGTGTTACCTTGAGAAGGTAATTGAGGGTGATTGAATTATAGAATTTGGATAATTTAAGCCAGCAATTTTCAATCACCAAATGATTATAAACAAATAAGAGATCCAAGTTATAACATTTAAGTTTGTTGTTTTCTTCTCCTAATACACATACATAAACAAAGATAGACATGACAAACCTAGGTTACCTAATATCATTTACTCTAAAGTGAAACTAATATACCAAATCATGCATACTATCATCATGTTTATGAAGGTGGAAAGAGAAACTCTTAAACATGCTTCCTACAAATAGAGTACCTTGATGCAATCTCTTCAGACTTATCCCCAAAAATCCAAGGTGATTCAAGTGTGTTGGAGGCCACTAAATAATGACTAGGTGAAATGTAATACAAACTGTACGTCTAGAGAAAATTCTAAGATCATGGGAATTTTGTATGAGGGATATGAATGACAATCTACTTACTAATAAGACAAACGAAATGAGCATTTTACAATGCACAACACTCAGACAGAAGTTATGACTATACTAAGGCAATAAGATATTGAGAGGAGAACTAATATCAACAGGTGATATTTGAGATTGACTCCTTATAGTTAAGAAATTCCATTCTTGAAACTTGAAAGGTCTCATGGCTGATAATTGAAGTGGTGGAAGAGTTATGAATGAGGACAAGTAACAAAAATATTAGAATAACTCATATTATAAAGGAAGACTTATGATATGCTAATCATCTCGAAAATACAACACTAGATGAAGGAGAAGTAAATACGTAAACTTTATTGGATCTAGGAGTATAGGAAAGGATACTAATTAATATTGATAAGCTAAATTGGCCTTACTTAATTATCAGATCATGCAAGAGATGAAAAGTTGGGGTGAAAAATAGAGGGAGTTCAATACTTATCAGGAACAAATCCCCTGACGAGAGGAGAACATGATAAACAAAACTTGTAACTAATCTAGTTTGTTTGAATGCACGTAGACATTCATGGAAGACAAAAAACAATAACACAAATTTGGATAAACAAAGAATAGTACATAAACAAATTTGACGTAATCTTTCTTGGATTGTCTTAGTCAAAAACCTCTTAATTGAACTGGTTCAATAGATATGAATCATACAAATGATGCATCCTACTACATAAAAATACAACCATACAAGAACCAAAATAAAGACACCAATACAACAAACAATACATAATAACAAGCAAAGAGAAATAAGAAGCAGCTACAAGAACCAAATAAGCAATGCAATATGCAGATAATATCCAAACCCTAATTTAAATTTTACACTATTAGGATTCGTGGATGTGCAATGTATGGTATTTTCACCTTAGGATGCTATTTCTATTGTACAAGGATCGATCTTTTTAAGTGCAAAATTAAAAGAAAGAAAAACATTATTCTCATTGTGGGTCACACTATTTTAAAATAAAAAGAAGAGAAAAGCTCACTTACAAGACATCACAGAGAGAAAAACATAGGAAACGGATCAGAGCTAAAGACAAAGAAAACTGTGAATAAAGAAATTAATTGCTAACCAGAATAATAAAAAAAATAGGAGGATAAATCAGCTACAAAATAGGAAATCTCAAATGAAACGTCTAGACGAAACTCTCCGAATCCCAAATATTTTCAACAGATCCAACTCTAAAGCATCCTAAAGAAAAGCTTGAAAATGAGATCGAGAATCAAAAGGGTGCAATAAAAACATGAATCAGAAGAAACAGACAAATAGAAGTGCAACAACAAAATACCCCCAAAGGTCAAGATATGAAGTTGGGGTGAAAATGGAAGGAGTTCAATACTTATTATGCACAAATCGTACGATGGGAGGAGAATATGATTAACAAAACTTTTAACTAATCTAGTTTCTTTATTGCAAGTAGACATTCATGGAAGACATAAAATTACAACACAAATTGTATTCATATAGAATAATACATATGACGTAATCTTTCTTGAATTGACTTACCCAAAACCTCTTATTTGAGCTGGTTCAATAGATATAAATCATACAAATGATGCACCCAACTACATAAGAACACAACCATACAAGAACTCAAGAATAAAAATGTAGACACCAATACAACATACAATAAATAATAACAAGTAAAGAGAAATAAGAAGCAGCTACAAAAACCAAATAAGCAATGCAACATGCAGATCAAATCAAGTGCTAATTTCAAATTTACACTGCTAGAATTGGTTGATGTGCAATGTATGGTATTTTCACCTTAGGATGCTACTACTATTGTACAAAGATCAATATTTTTAAGTGAAAAATTAAAAGAAAGGAAAACATCATTCTCATTTTGGATCACACAATTTCAGACCAAAAAGATAAAATAAGAGAAAAGCTCACTTACCAGGCATCACAGAGAGAACAACATCATCAACAAATCATAGCAGCTACAGGAAAATGTGAGTAGAGGAATTAATTGCTAACCTGAATGGAGAAAAAACAGAAGGAAACTAGATCAGCTTCAGAATAGAAAATCTCAAATGGAACCTCTAGACGAAACTCTCCAGATTCCAAATATTTTCAACATATCCAACTCTAAAACATCCTAAAGAAAAGCTTGAGCATGAGATCGACAATCAAAAGGTTGTAACAAACACATGAATCAAGAGAAACAAACAAATAGAACTGCAACAACAAAATACCCCAAAAGGTCTAGAGATGAAAAATTGGGTTGAAAAATGGAAGGAGTTCAATACATATTATGAACAAATCCCACGATGGGAGGAGAACATGATCAACAAAACTTTTAACTAATCTATTTTCTTTGATTGCTAGTATACATTCATGGAAGACAAAAAACAACAACAAAAACTTGAATACATATAGATTAACATAACCAAATTTCGCATAATCTTTCTTGAATTGGATTAGTTAAAAACCTCTTAATTGAAGAGGTTCAATAGATATGAATCATACAAATGATGCACCTAACTACATAAAAAACGCAACCATACAAGAACTCAAGAATCAAAATGCAGACACCAATACAACAGATATTACATAACAACAAGAAAAGAGAAATAAGAAGCAACTACAAGAATGAATTAAGCAATGAAACATGCATATCAAATCCAAGCCCTAATTTCAATTTTACACTGTTAGTATTGGTTGATGTGCAATGTATGATATTTTCACCTTAGGATGCTACTTCTACTGTACAAAGATCGATCTTTTTAAGTGCAAAATTAAAAGAAAGGAAAAGATCATTCTCATTGTGGGTCACATAGTTTCAGATGAAAAAAAATAAAATGAAAAGAAAACCTCACTTACAAGGCATCACAGAAAGAACATCATCAGGAATCATAGTTGGCACGGAAAAATGTGAATAGAGGACTTAATTGCTAACCAGAATCAAGAAAAAATAAAAGGATGCTAGATCATCTTTAGAATAGGAAATCTCAAACAGAACCTCTAAATGAAACTCTCCAGATCCCAAATATATTTAACAAATCCAACTCTAAAACATCCTAAAGAAAATTTTGAAAAATGAGATCGGGAATCAGCAGGGAGAAATAAGCACATGAACTAGAAGAAACAAACAAATAGAACTGCAACAACAAAATACCCCAAAAAAGGTTAAGAGTTGCAAGGAAAATGTGAATAGAGAAATTAAGCGTGAAGCAAAATCAAGAAAAAAGAAGAATGGGGCTAGATCAACTTCAAAATAGGAAATCTCAAATGGAACCTCTAGACGAAACTCTCTAGATCCCAAATATTTTGAACAAATCCAACTCTAAAGCTTCCTAAAGAAAAATTTGAAAATTGAGATCGAGAATCAAAAGGGTGCAATAAACACATGAATCAGAAGAAACAAACAAATAGCACTGCAACAACAAAATACCCCAAAAGGTTAAGAAAAAGGTCAAATTATGGGATGGCCACTAAGCCTCGCGGGTTGGGCCTACGAGGCTAGCGGGCCAAATGAGGTTGGGCCAAAAAGCCTCATTCCTAAATGGGCCAAAAAAAT